ATCATGTCACCCCTAACTCTTCGCCTTTCCAGTGAATGCAACTTAAGCTTTGTTATCTTTCTTCATATGAAAGATTTCTAATTTGGGGAATTAACTTAGTCATCCTACGTTGGACACGTTCAAGTGAATTTATATCCATTCTATAATACGGCGACCAAAACTGAACTGCATAATCTAAATGGGGCCTAACCATAGCAAGATATAGCTGAAGAACCACACCAGGTGTCTTGTTACTAACGCTTCGATTAATAAATCCCAGTGTCCTATTCGCCTTATTACGAACATTCATGCATTGATCCTTTTGTTTTAAATTCTTACTAATCATAACTCCCAGATCCCTTTCGCAATCCGACTTCGCATCTCAACACCATCTAGCTCGTATCTTGTAACTCTATCATCATTACCTAGCCTCAGAACTTTACATTTATCAGCATTAAACTGCATTTGCCAATCCTTTGACCATTTCAAAACCCTATCTAGATCAACTTGAAGTGATAGTGAGTCCTCCTCCGAATTAATTTCCCTACCGATTTTCGTATCATCGGCAAATTTGCAAATGTTGCTACTCAAACCTGAATCTAAATCATTTATATATTATAAACAACAGAGGTCCCAGGACAGAGCCCTGAGGTACTCCACTAACAACATTATCCCACTCTGACTTAACCCCATTTATACTAACTCTCTGTTTTCTTTGGAATAGCCATGCCCTAATCCAAGTTAATATAGCACCCCCAATACCATGAGCTTCTATTTTTTTAATCAGTCTTTCATGTGGCACTGTATCAAAAGCTTTGCTAAAGTCAAGGTACACAACATCACAATCCTTACCACTATCAACTGCCTCAACTATGCTGGAATGAAAAGTTAGCAAATTTGTTAAACATGAACGGCCATTTGTAAAACCATGTTGCGACTCATTTATTAATTTATGTTTTTCAAGATGGAGACGAATTGTATTTGCAATTATTGATTCAAGTAACTTTCCCACAATAGACGTTAGGCTAATTGGCCGATAGTTTGACGCAAGTGATCTATCTCCTTTCTTAAAAATTGGTCCCACATTAGCTACCTTCCATGACTCTGGCACTCTGCCTGACTCTATTGATTTATTAAATATGGTAGACAGTGGCTCGGAAAGCTCCTCTTTGCATTCTTTAAGCACCCTGGCAAACACTTCATCCGGCCCTGGGGATATGTTTGATACTCCAGGATTGGTCTTAAATATGTGGTATACAAGGTTCTGAATGATTCCTTACACAGGTTCCTGAAGGCTGTTCTGATGTTAGCCAGCCTCGTATATGGAGTAGATGATATTCTCTTGATGTGGGCTTCAGGAGACAGGTTTGGTGTTATCTTGAGTTATTGATATGAACTCCTAGATTTTTCTTTCTGTCCGTTTCATGAAGGACTTCATCTTCCATTCTGTATCCTGTGTCTGGCCTCCTGTTTCCATTGCCTAGTATTATTACTTTGAATTTACTCGGGTTGAACTTTAGTAGCCATTTGTTGGACCATTCACTCTGTCTAGGTCATCTTGTAGCCTCCTACTATCATCCTCTGTTTCAATCCTCCTCATAATTTTTGCATCATCAGCAAACAATGAGAGGAACGATTCTATACCCTCTGGGAGATCATTTATATATATCAGAAACAGTATAGGTCCAAAGACTGACCCCTGCGGGACTCCACTGGTGACGTCTCGCCACTCCGAGACCTCACCCCTCACACTGACTCGTTTTCTTCTGTTACTTAGGTACTCCTTTATCCAATGGAGTACCTTCTCTTTCACACCGGCCTGCATGTCCAGCCTTTTCACTAGCCTCTTGTGTGGTACTGTATCAAAGACTTTCTGGCAATCAAAAAATATGCAGTCTGCAGAATTGTGGTGAGGGAGATGTGTGGGAAATAAGGAGTGTGCATTGAGGCAGGTGTGCAGTGAGGCAGGTGTACAGTGAGGCAGGTGTGCAGTGAGGCAGGTGTACAGTGAGGCAGGTGTACAGTGAGGCAGGGCAGTGTACAGTGAGGCAGGGTGTACAGTGAGGCAGGTGTGCAGTGAGGCAGGTGTACAGTGAGGCAGGTGTACAGTGAGGCAGGTGTGCAGTGAGGCAGGTGTACAGTGAGGCAGGTGTACAGTGAGGCAGGTGTACAGTGAGGCAGGTGTACAGTGAGGCAGGTGTGCAGTGAGGCAGGTGTGCAGTGAGGCAGGTGTACAGTGAGGCAGGTGTGCAGTGAGGCAGGTGTACAGTGAGGCAGGTGTGTACAGTGTGCAGTGAGGCAGGTGTGAGGCAGTGAGGCAGGTGGGGGCAGTGAGGCAGGTGTACAGTGAGGTAGGTGTACAGTGAGGCAGGTGTACAGTGAGGCAGGTGTGCAGTGAGGCAGGTGTCCAGTGAGGCAGGTTGTACAGTGAGGCAGGTGTGCAGTGAGGCAGGTGTACAGTGAGGAGGCAGTGAGGCAGGTGTGCAGGTGAGTGAGGGCATGTGTACAGTGAGGCAGGTGTACAGTGAGGCAGTGGTGTACAGTGAGGCAGGTGTACAGTGAGGCAGGTGTGCAGTGAGGCAGGTGTACAGTGAGGCA